CATTGGTGAATGCCACAAATTCTCCTAAATAACTCGTACGCACAACTTAAGAACAAATCTGTGCGTACGAACGGTTCTTGCATGAGGCCCAATGTGTGCAAGCTTATTATAACGTGTTTGGACTTCCACAGCAACGTTAGTAGAACTTCTGCAGAACCTCTGCACAGCATGGAGGAAATTGCGACATTGGCAGCAGTCACACAGTGGTGCACAGTATCAGCTTATGAAAAAACCTACATGTTGATGGAAGTTAGGCATAATTTTAGGATAACTTACCAACATGTTAATGTAAGAGGGCATACGTTATACGAAGATCCCAGTGCAGAATTTTGAACATGTTCAAATTTTTCATCTTATGTGGAACTGTTACTAATCAGTTTTACATGTTTCAGGTCTGTTCCAGGTCTGTTATATATATGTTCACACATGTTACATGAACGTTGCTCATATGTGGACCTTTATCAGAATTAATTACGGAGTAGACACATAATATCAGAATGCGTGGGTGTGTCCTTCGATGATTGACTTGCATCTGTCAACATGTCGGGGAAGAAGTCTGACAACGGGGCTCATTAAAAACAATATATTTGTCAGAATGAGTTTTAAAATATATAAAAGAATTAGCAGTGAGCAAAATAAAGCTGGCAGATACTTTTAAACCAGCTGTCAGAAAAGATGATCCACAGAAATATTCTCACGCACCACTTGAGAGGAAGAGGTGGGCGCAGGAGACAAAATCTGATGAATTTTAAAAGAGAGATCCGAGTTGCTGCAGCAACATTGACTGGTACAACATCTGACACACAAGGAGCAGTTATTGTGCCACAATTTGATCATCAGCAGCCATCGCAGAGCGCCCGCTTTGGGTACTCACACTCACCCTCGCCAGCTGTGGAGGTGTTTGTACTTGGTGCTTACATTGTTTTTTTATTTTTTTTTTATTTTATTTTTTTGATGGCCTCCCTTCTCCCCCTCTAGCCATCCTCTCCACACCATTATTTTTTTTTTTTTTTTTTTTT